GCAGAAGAAAAATGGAAGAGCCAGTGTAGCAGCCAGCCCTGGTGGGCCTGGGCATGCGCCCCCCACCCCGGGCCAAGTCTGGCCTGGGCAAGGGGAGGCCAGGTCCCCTTTTCTCCTGTAACAGAGTAGAGGAAAACAACTTTAGAGAAAAACCTGCATGAGATGTAATGCAAAAGGAATTCTAGGCAGAGAGAGATAGCGCAGCCTCCAAGGTCAAAGCTGGCAGCTGGAGGAGAGAGAAAAGAAGCCCAAAGGTGAGAGGCTCCTTCTCTCCCCCCTCTTCTCTCCCTTCAGTAGGGAAGAGACTGAAAACTAAAAACCCCTGCCATCTGTGGAAGACTGTTGGGGAGCAGAGACCCTCCTCTGCAGCTCATGAAGGAGCCCACACCGAAGCAGAGGAGTGCCTGAAGAAGATGTGACTCCGTGGGAGGCCTAATATGAAACAGAGTCCTGCTGGAGACCTGTGGCCCATGGAGAGAGAGCAAATCATTCAGGGTTGGATTTGTGTGATCCCAGTGAGGGATCCATGCTGGTGCAGCTGAATTTGTGACCCTAAGGGACAGCAGAGAATGGAAGAACTGTTGCCTGAAGGTGGACTCACACTAGAGAGGTCCATCAAAGACTGTCTCTCATGAGGAGGGACCCCACAAGAAACCAGGGGTGGACTCAAAAGCCATTATCGCCTCAGATCCTGTGGTGAAGACCATGGTAAGGCAAGTGTCCACTTGCAGTCCATGGAGGACCCCACAGGGCTTGAGTAACCCTCAGCCTCTGGTCCTAGCCCAGGGCGGGGTAAGCCCAGCCCTGAGGTCAACATAGAAGAGAGAGAGAGAGACAGTTCCAGCTGTGCCAAGTTGGAGCTGTCGTCCTAGAGATAATAGAAGAGGAACTGTCAAGTGCTGCAAAATTATTTAGAAGACCTGTAGCTCTGGAAGTGGAAAAGAAACTACTCCTCCTCCTGAACTGATACAAGGTGAGAGGGGTACTTCTGTAAATACATAGCACTTTTGCCCAGTTAGAATTGTTGTATATATAGTTCTTTAGCTTTTATCTTGTTAGTAATAAATCCTAATATTATTCTCCGCACATCAGATCTCTTTTGTCTGCATAAACCTTCTCTCAACTTATAGAACTGGGGGGGGGGGGTGTGAGAGAAAATTGGCCCAGAGCAAATCCACGACATGCTCACATAAGTTCTTTTTTAATTGCTTATTGCTTGGTTGGAGGAGGCACTGTTGGTACATATCTAGAAGGAAAAACTTGTTGTTTTGCTATTTCAGATTGCTTAAACTCACCTAGGGTAACATTAAATAAAGAAAAGTTTGTGTATGCAGTCTTGTTTGTCATCTGAATCTTGAAAATAAGATAGTTATCTATTCCCTTACTTACACAAGAGTTAAAAGCTTTTAGTCAGATCAGTGAAATGCTGTAATTGTAGAAAGTTCCATGTAAATTTATAAAGGGACTGTTAAACATAAAAGGAGTGATGCTGTGGACAAGAATATTAGTGAATATGCAAAATTAGTCCAGTAACACAAAACTACTCTAACTGGTGAATGTAATTCTGACTTCTCAACACTAATGTCTAATTTCTCCAGTGTCGGGGTGAAGCTCTTGCAGAACCAGGAAGAAGTAAAGCCAGACAGGTAGCCAAATTATCAATTATCCCAATGTCAGAAAGGTTTCCGACATTTCTGAGAAGATCTCTCAGTAAGCTCAGCATCCTATTGTAAGAGAGAATGTTAGGAAGAAAGGTTTGCTTGGATAAGGAGTATTTAGCTGAAAAGGTTAAGAAGTACCTTTTGCTGTTGGATTGTTTTCTGTGATTGATGACTTCCCCCCCCGCCTCAGTGTAGTGGATTGACCTTGTCTGGATACCAGGTGTCCACCAAGCTACTCTGTCACTCCCCAGCTGGAAAAAGGGGTGAGAGAGTAAGATGGAAAATGACTTGTGTGTTGAGATAAGGCAATTTACCAAAGCAGATGTTGCCTAAATGGCTGTGGGGAAAAAAGACTCCAAGCCAAATTAGGTAGGAGATAAGATAAGGATACAAAGGCTCTAATGAGCCCCCAGGCTTTCTGGAATACCCTCAACGTGCGCTCCAGAATACAGATGTTCACAGTTTTTTATAATGATTTTCACCCAATCCCTGTCCAGCCACCACCCAGGTTCTGCCCACACCACGCCTCTTGGGAATTGGGTCTGGGGGTGTTTTGGGACCCCCTCTTCTTCATCTTCCTCAGAGCATGTAATGTCCTTGGAGGTCTTCCAGAATTCTAGGCCTGAAGGTTGTTGAGTCTATGGCTATATCTTCTTCCTTAGGGTTAGGATATTCCCTATAATTCTACCTTGAAAAAGAGACTAAACAGGCTATGGAATTTATGGGAATTGATATGGGAATGGGTAACAGGGGTTTGAGCTGGTGTGTTAAAGGGTAAAGGGATAATATGCTGCTACTCTAAAATCTACATTTACTACATAACTACTTCTAAGATCTACAAAAATTAAAAAAAAAATCAAAACATCAAAACTCCAAGGTATCACAGAAGTGAAAGTTTGCACATGCAGAAGCAAAGTGGAAGGTATGAAGATTTATTCTCTACTTCCCATCAGCAGCAATGTCCAGTGACGTCCCGGGAAGCAGGGCTTTCAAAACACATAGTGGTTCCTCAGCAGGCAACCATTGTAAACAACAAATCCCCCTGCTTCTTCCTCCTTTGGTCATATAGTATGGAATATCCCTTTGGTTAGTTTGGGTCAGCTGACCTGGTTGTGTCCCCTCCTAGGATCTTGCCCTCGACTGGGAAACAATGTTACAGTGCTGATGCTGTGCTCAGCAGTAGCCAAAACACTGGTGTGTTATCAGTGCCCTTCTAGCTACCAATTCAAAGCACAGCACTGTGAGGGCTGCTATGGAGAAACGAACTCCATCTCAGCCAGAACCAGCTCACTTACCTTTCTGGTTCATATGTGGTCTACGTGGTCAGGACTTTCTGATCAGAACTATTCTGTCACTTTTGGTAATTGAGAGTCAGGTCATCTGATCCCATGTGCATTGCAGGGACTTGGCCCATCAAAATGGCATTCACAGTGTAACTTTTTTATTCAACTAGTATCTGAAGAATCTTTGTCCCATTTCATCTTTATCTGCAAGAAAAAGCAATTTGAAATATGAGTCAGGTGGTCTCCACAGATACTTTGCCAGCACACTACTCAGCCAAAAACTGAAAAATCAAAAGCATTTTTGATTTTTTATGTCATCTGTTCAGATGAGGGTACTGTTTAAAGGGATGGTTTCAGCAATAGTGTGGATTTTCTCTCTCTTCCTTCCTCTCTTAGTCTTGAAAGAAAGTACTGTTGGTATTACAAAAGACTTGTACGGCCTGTTCTGAAAATTAAAGCAGAAAGGGAAGTCATCAACTCCAACTCCAGCATCAGCAGGTGTTCCTTCAGAAGTGGGATTTTATTGAGGTTGTACCAAATTAAGGTTCGTCACTTCTGATGAGGCATCAAGATTTCTGATACCAACAGAAATATGTTCATTGCCGGTATGCACGTGCAGCACACAATCTCAGTGCATGGGAGACCTGTCTGATCCCCCCACCTCTGACTCCCAGGCCCCTCTGGTCTGTGGCAGGTGCTTGACAGCAATATATATCAAAGCAGACTCTCCATCTTAATAGGTGATGGGTCATGACATCTGGCGTGTTTCCCAAATGGGTTGTCTTACGAGGCAGTCTCTTTGCCCACTGCCAAGTCTTTCAAATACCATAGGGTTGCTGGCATTTTCTAGGTCTTTCTCAGTCGTGGCTCACTTGTGGCATGTTTAGAAACTTACCTTCTTGTGCATGGGTTCATCTTCATGACTTGCACACTTAGCAGCCTGTTCAGGAGTTTCTATCTCACAGCCCACTAATAGAGCAATGTCACTTCAGCAGTTGTTTCAACCCAAAGGCCAAAAGATCTTGAACAGGCTGCCAAGTTTCTCAGAGGGACAGAAAACCCATGCCCAAAATGCTAAGTTTCTAAATGTGACACAGATGCCTTTCTGCCAGTCAGATTTTGCACAGCATTTCTTCTACAATCAGTGAAGAACACGCAACTACAAAATGGTTTTCTTGAGAAGATTTTTGGTTGCCTTATCTCAGAATGGAGGTGCTCCTAGAATGAGTTAAAAAGCTTTTCAGGATCCTTCTTGCACCAAAGATGTAACTCAAAAGCCTGGAATAACACAGCCTTGGTGTCTGTTCCTGCATGTGGACTCCCTGTGAGCAAGTAGGAAGCTATGCCAGAGAACTGACCTCCCTCAGCAGCAGAGCAGTCAGGTCTGCCAAGGACCAGTCCTTGTAATCACCATGAAAGAAACTTTTATGAGGTCAGGATTGCTGCAGCTTGACCACGTGGCATCTGAGAAACATGCTTGGGCAGCTGCTTCTGCCTAAATGCTATGAACCTGGCAGCATCCCGTTGCTGCTGGAGCAATTCATGCTTTTTTCTTTTTCAGCTTGTGCTACCTTGGTTCTTTATGTTTAGGTTTGTACCACATTTGTCACCTTGTACCCAGTGGGTAATGTTTGGCCACCTGAACATTGATCTTTCAGAAGACTGGAATTTGAGTTGAGAGATGCAGAGCACCCAATGCTTACAGCTCCTTCTGCATTAGATATGTGACATCATACTTCCAAAGTGACAACTCACCCAGGTTCACCCTGGTTCATCTGACTAGAGGGTCCCTTTCTTCCATTCTCCCTGCAGTGATTTCTGAAATACCTTGTCATTTCTCATATGTTTTCTTTCAAGTTCATGCAATAGTGATAAAGTCTGTGACAAAGCAGGCGAGTGGAGATTCCCTTGGTGTTCCCAAGGAGGACACCTGCTAGCAGTGCTGTGATACAGTAGGAAAAATGGGAAAATGATCAGAGAATTGGCCCATGGCAGTGGAATAGCAATAATATCATTAACCAGCATCTTTACCTTTCTCTCTCTCTCGCCATTCCAGAGTGATTACTCAAGTGACACCGAAAGTGAAGACAATTTCCTGATGATGCCACCAAGAGATCATCTTGGCCTCACTGTGTTCTCCATGCTCTGCTGCTTCTGGCCACTGGGAATTGCTGCCTTTTATCTGTCTCATGAGGTAATGTTAAAACATCCCTTGACAATTCACAGTTTTGCATCCATGGAGTAGCCATCACTCCACACCGCAGGGAAAGTTCACCAAAACCGTAATATAGGCAAGATATTCTTGAGGATTGTGGAGGGTAGTTCAACAGGATGATGTGTTCTGCACCTTGATATGTCTCTACGATAACAATGGTGATTGATTTGTGAGACACTTTGCTGAGGAGACTTCTGCAAAATGTTTTAGCTTTTAGTTGACAGTGGTCAAGTTCCATCAGGTTATACAATGTCTAGCTAAGAATTTTCTGTGGACATGTCTTCTGAATAGAAAACATGCTTGCTATCTCAAACATCTGGCTTTCCCATGAGCTCTTGTTTCCCACAGAGCTATTGGTCCCCAATTTGGAATGTTCTTCCAGAAGCAGAAAAATAATTTCTGTTCTGCAGAGTGAATTTGCTTTCCAGGAACCGTTTCCTTTCCCCAGGAAAAATTGTTCAGTCAGTTCTTCTTTTCCAGTTTTAATATGGAAATACTTCTTTACCAAAGAAGTGACAAAGTTTTTGTTTGTTTCCATCATGAGACAGACTTGACATTGTCTAACTTACAATCACTGTATGCTCATCATTTGTTTTGACAAGTATGTAAGTGTGTATAAGTGTCTGCAGAGTAATTACTGCATTTCCCAGCATGGCAGATAATGTAACATGACAGAAAAGGAGCCATACTGGCCCTCTCATCAGTGACTGCAAGGAAGCATTTGCTTATATTTCTCCCTGGTGCCTATTGCAAACTACAGTCTGTACTCCAGAGCACCCTCCACATTTATCCTCTCAGCTGTGTTTCTAATCTGCCTGCACTAAACATCTACCATCTCTGGTTATTTGTCTAATCAGGGCAGGCACTACAGATCTGGAGAATCCTAGTCTTCAAGATGAAAAAAAGAGATGCAGCACTACTGTTTTTTGCTGTTATTGGACTTGAAAGCCTCTGAGACAATTAGAGTTTGTCCACTGGAAAATAACAAGTTTTGCTCGTTTGAGTGCCATTAATTTCCCAAGTTTGGGTCAAGGAATCTGCCTGATTACATTGACAGTAGAAAGTACAGCATTGGATGGGATGTGCAGTCACTTTAGTATCCTGCCATTTGGTCCTTCAAACTGAGCTATGCACCAGCAGTTGCAATCACCACATTTCTTCACATGAGTGGACTGGCCAGGGGTTTTCACCAATACTGCCATCAAGGAAGGATTGAGAGTTTGTCACCATTAGTGATGGGTGGTGGATAAATAGTGCTGGGATAAATAGTGCTTTCATTAATTTCCTGTGGTAGTGTTCCTTCAGGAGCCCTTGGGACTGCGAGCTGGTTTTATCTAAGCAGTGAAAGCACAGTACACTCCAGTAAATGCAAAACAAACAACGTAATTAAGTACTAAAAAGCAGTATGGCAGAGAAGCTGAATGTGCTGAGAGCCAGTGTACAAAGGCCAGGGCATCTGCATTAGCTGTGAACTGATCCTAGGGGCCAGCATGAATCCATAAGATCCTATGAATTAACAGGAGAGTACAGACAGTGGAAAAGGACACAGAAACACAGGGAAAGCTGATGGTATTATGCTGAAGGATTTCAGCACCAGAAGATAAAAACTTGGGTGGTGTTTGGCTTAACGTGATGATGGAGAACAGCTGATTGTGGCTGCCTAAACCTAAAAGCTGTCGGCAATGAAGGTCAGGCAGGTGCTTTACTTTTATTAGGTTGAGAGACAGTAAATGAATCTTTGTTAATTGATCCCTTAGATGCATCAAGGCAAGCTGTGGCTAAATCCAGTCAGGAGGAAATACTGTGTTTGTGAGGAATTTTGACTTCTGCTTCTTCTTTTCGCATTGGAAATAGAAATATTATCATCTCTCCCTATAAAAAAAATTATGACGATACTACCATCTCTGTATGCTCCTTTCCTCCAGTCTCTTCTCTTAGAACTCTGACCACAATAGCTGACTCAGCTGTGAACTCATTTCTCAAATCTCTTGTAGAAAGATGTTCTGGTTTGTCACAGTCCAGCACATCTGTCTCTCCACTCCCTGAGTTCTCCAGGCAGCTGCCTTTGCTTCCTGCCTTCCCCTCCGACAGGTCCTTCACAGCCCCAAGAAACCATACATCTTCACTGAAAGTGGCTCTTCTGCAAAGCACCACATCTGTCAAACTGGCATTTTCCAGTAGAGAAATGAAACTAAAATTAAGACCAAAACCTTATATGGCTGAGAACTAGCTGAGATAGCTGGTATAATCAACCAAACCCCTGCACCTAACTAAGCTAATACTGACAGTGGTTTTATATGTGAGGGAGCAAAACATTATGTCTTATTACAATGGGATTTCTATTTATGTAGGTCTTTCAACGTACACTCATGATTAACATTTCAGATCTCTTTTTAATTCAAAACAGTAGTCTAACATTCCCCATCCTTTATCAAAAGTCAGAACTATAACTGAAGATAAAATTTTGGCACTTGTGTTCAGATCTGTTTTTGCAGTTGCTTAAGCTCTTGAAAATTTTGTGTTTGCAAAAGTCTCCTGGGTAGTTTTACCAAAAAGCCCCAGTCTGGGAAAAAATTGTGACACATGGGAACTTCAGAGATGGTGGATGGATTCTTTGTTCCAGAATACAGCACTTGTGATGAACTTTATTTAAAAAAACTTGGTCTGCTCTAAGTGTGCAATGCATTTACAGCTAAAGGCCTGATTTGCAGAAGTTGTATTTGCAGTACAGTTCATTCCAAAGGGACAGGTGCTCTTAGTTTATTCCTGCATCACTTAGCAGTAAATTTATGCTGCATATGCCTGTGTCATGGCACAAAAGAATTATGCAGGGATGGACGCTGTAAGGTTTCAGAGGTGCTCTTTACAAGCAGAATGATTTCATTTTAGAGGTTTTGTGCTCCATGACAGCAATGTGCTTCCCTGCAGATGTTGTTTCTGCTTTGTGTGGAACTTACTGTTTCCACCAAGGCTCTTGCCGACTGCCTCACAGGTATAAGGTGTCCTCCTGGTCACACTGGCATCATGCTCAGTTGGTGCCCAGGTGCCCCTCTCACCTGAAGCATCACAGCTAAAATACAGGATACAGTGACTTTGCACACATCATCCATTTTGGTGACCTGTTCAGAGGCCACTGCTTTAAGATAACCTGTTAGAAGGGATAACATGTCTGAGTACTCTGATTTTTAACAGTAGACACTGTTTATTCACTAATTTTCTACTCTTCTACAAATGGGGATGTGAGTTTTTAGACTTGCAGATTATTGGATTGTCTGCTTTTCTAACAAACACCTGATATTTGAGCTCAGAGGAGTTTTTGTGCAGTTTGCAGGGAAACCTTTGCAAAGAAAAAATGTAAATTATGCCTTTCAGAAACTCTCGTCCACAAACAGTGTCTGATCAAAAAAACCTCTTTATTTTTTCATAAATCTCTACCCTCTGGAATCATGTGGATACCCCAGTTTTATTTTCACTGAAGTTTTTAGCTTTTTAGATTGCAGGCAAGTCTGAAGCTTCATAAATCAGAGAAAGAACTTAAAAAATATATCATTTTTTGTCTTGTCAAGTTTACCCTTAAAACTATCAGTTGATTTCTCAGGGCCTGTCAGGATTTATCCTGGGGGGAGACTGGGGGTGGTGGTGGTAATAATCCTGCAAAGTCTTTTTGCCTGAATCCTGTTTTTCTCCCTGCATTTATTTTTAGGAAAGAGAGCAATACCATGGCACACATTTCTTTTTCTCCTGTAAAAAGAAATGCATTACTGGAGAGCTAGGCCTGTGCTGATGTGAATGTGGTTCACTTTTACCAGCTCTCTTGTAGGCAGAAACAAGAGCACGTACAATAACTCCATCCAGCTTCCATGCAAGACCCATGGAGCTATGGCAGACTGACATAGACATATGCCTGAAAATTCCCGCTTTCTTCCCCAGCAGCAGGTGAGACCTGCCAGGCAGCAGACTACAATCCAAGCACATGTGAGCAATCACTTCCCATCTGCTGCACTTAAGCCCTGCTGTAACTACCTCCCTTGCAAGGTGATGGAGGGATGCAAGGCTCTGTAATTATTTCCCCAGCCCATAGATTGCTTTACTGGGCACAGCTCCAAATGCCACTGCTCAGAATGTATCACTGAAGGATTTTCTTGAGTTTTCATGTGGACACAAGGCATACATGATCAGACAAAGGAGTAGCTTGTCTTTCTTTGTGACAACTTCCAAAATATTTGGCTAATTTCCATCCAGTTTAAAGACAGAGGCTTTGAAAAATCTCTATCATCTTGACTTATTTCAGTGGTCACTGGGAAAAAGAAAGAAATGTTTGTGCCTCCACTGGGAGGGAGTAGACAGTGTGAATTTAACCTTTATCAGAGACCAGAGGTTCTGCTCAGCACATATGAATGTATTTCACTGTCTCTGCTTTTCTGCATCAGGTTTTGACATCTAGCTGCAAAAGAAAAGAACAGAGAAGTAACAGCCAGGTATTATCTGTTGTTTAGTCATTGGAAATGTGGCTTATAGTCCCCATCTCGCCATGAGGCGGTACAGCAGTGTGATGTGCAACACTCCACCAAACTAGCTAGTGGTGCTGGTAAGACCTTTCAATGCTTTATGAGCCCACCCTTTTCTTTTTTTCCTTTTTGTCCCACTCTACGCCATTCAGAAAACTGAACATATTCTGTTATAAAGAACTCAACTTCCACAGGCATCAACGTATGTTTGAACCGTTGATGCTGTAACCTCTTATATCAGAGATGAAAAGTCTCAGGCAAAATAAAAAATCTGGAGGGTTTTCTTTACTTAGCAGTGACAGACCAAGATGTATACTTGCAAGATGTGCTGGTCAGCATTGCTGAAGCCATGCTAGCGAAGCAGACAGTGGGCTTTTGCATTTTCAAGAGATATTGCTGATTTTTCAGCACTGCATTATTTCCTGGATGAAGTTGTGCTTGTGCAAAAGACTATCAAAAGAAGATGAGCTT